AGCCATTCCCCCGCTAGCACGCTCGTTAACAGCCCTGGCAAGTTCCCACTTCGCGTGTTTAGTGTGGACGAGTCGCGGCCGTCTACTTCACACTTCGACTCGGATTACTACAGCCAGCCTGAATCGCCGCAAGCAAAGCATAGCAGCGCGTCCATCAAGTCGTTTACGCCTTCAGAACGGTCGAAGAAGTTTCTTGATCTCAAGGAAGAGCGGCGACGGTCTGCTCGTGATCTGAGTGAGCGCATGTCTGCAGTTTCCCTGAAGGCACTACGCGATGCGTCTCTTTCTCCAACGCCAGAAGAAGTTCCCGCAGTGCCTACGACCCACCAGCAACAGGTTCCTTCCATCGTAGCGGATGACAGGTCTGCCACTCCCTCCAGACGCCGTGAGCACGTCCGCCAAATCGACCAGCCACGACCGCTGTCGTTGATGGATGCAGCAGAGATCTCCCCACCTCGCTCACAGACATGTGCCCCTCAGGCTCCCGACCGCCAACCAGACGGTCTACGCGGTCTATACCGCCCCCGCAAACCCTCAAGCCGAGCATCAACCGACCAGCGCCCATCCTCAAGCTACATCCCTAGTACCACAAACACCCCCGGTAGTTCCCTAGGCCGCCACCACTCCACTCGAGAGGCCTCCCCTCACGTCCCGGCACGCAGCAGCAGCAGACACCGAACCACCGAGCGTTCAACCGAGTCACCCCAACGCACCTCACCACGCCACCGCTCCTCCTCCATCGACGCACGAACCCCCCAAACGAACCGCCATTCCATGGCATCAGGGTGGGAATCCACCACCCCACCCCCCTCCTACTCCCCCTACTCCCCCGCCTCCAACACCTCCACCCTCGATCTAACCAGCTCGTTAGATCCCCGTCGAGCCAAGGACCAATGGTGGCGCAGCCTCGATCGTTTAACTCACTCTCAAGTCATGGCTCAGGAGATACAAGCACAGGGGATACAGGTGCCACGGGGCTATGACGCCGGGCCAAATCCTCCTCCTACTGTTGTTGCTCCTCCTAGTACTACGCAGCGGACGCGGAGTAGTAGTACAACGGGCCAGCACCGGAGTCGTAGACCTACGCCTACGCCTTCGAGTGCGCTGAATAGTCATCCTGTGGTGGCTGCGGAGAAGGATTGTCTGTTTAATGCGAAGGAGAGTACGGAGGATTTTATGAGTAAGATGAGAGGGGGGAAGGGGTCGAGAGACTCTATCTTTTCCCTTCGTTGAATTAGTTACTTGGTTCTTAATGATTGTACGGCCTAATTCCCTGGGTTTCTTTTTATAACGGCGTTTGAGAAGGAAGAAAGTCCACTCCGCGAGGAGGTTATTCAATAGCGTGGGAGGGACTTGTTTGAGATTGCGGCTTTGTTTCGCGTCTACACTCGTCTTTTATCTGTCTGTCTGTCTAGAGGGCAGAAGAGTTGGACACTGTATCACTAGTCGAGGATATCGACGTAACACTATATAATAACATCACCCATCCTCAGATCTCTTCCCATAACACATAAGTGAAGTAAATCATGATACCCAATATCCAAAACACAGCGAATCCCAAATGAACTCATACCCTCATGAAATGTTACAACCGCACCCTACCCCCTCCCCCTAAACTGCTCAGCAACCACATCCCCCAACGTCCTCCTCTGCCTCGCCTCCCCCGCCCCCTCGGCCAAAATCCCCGTCGCCAACCCCGCCCCACCCCCCTCCCTCTCCCTCTCATCCTCCCACCTCGCCCTCAACCCCTCAAACCCCCCTTTCCTCTCCTCACCCACAACCCCCCCAGGCACCCTCCACCTCGCCGCACCCGGCAGCACATCGCGCCTATACGCCGTTCCGACCCCCCACCCCACCGCCGCCGCTAGTAAGCTCCCCGGGAACTGGGATAGCGCGAGTTGTAAGGGGGGAAGGTAGGACAGCGATTTCGACGTCAGCGTTATGGAGCGCCGATAGAAAGATTGTTGGGATGAAGGGGTGGAAGCGGCCCAGGGAGAGATTTTGTAGCGGTAGGTAGAGGGGATTGCGGCGTAGTAGTTTGCGAGGAGGGCGAAGAGGAGGGGGGTTGGGCCGGCGGGGAGGTGGTTCATGCGGCCGAGGGTTAGGGGGCGGAGGATGAAGGTTAGGATGAGGGGCGGGAGGAGGGTTGTGTAGGGGAGGGTGGAGAGGAGGAAGGACTGTGGATTGTTAGTTGACTGGTGTAGATGTGGGAGGTGGGTAAGAGGGAGAGGGGGGTATACATACAGCGAACTTTCTACTCCCCCAAATCCTTTCCACAACGCGGAGTTGGTAGAATGTCAGGACTGCGAAGAGGACTTCGGTTGAGTTTGTGAAACTTAGCTGTAATTTCATGTTAGCATCCATCTCATTCATCCACCCCATTCCCCATTCCCATCCATTCCCCTTCCCGTTCCCCATTCCTCTCCATCTCTCCACGAACTCAGTAAAACATACCGTCCAAACCCCACACCTCCAAAACTGCCCATACCCCCACAAATGCGGCACAACCTGAATATGCAGATAGAATCTCGAATCCGTAATCGCCGCCAGCAGCGCGCCAATGACGGTGCCGAAGACGAGGAATTGCGTTACGGGCGCGTTGGTGAAGCCCGAGGAGATCATTGTCGCGTTGGTCGGGAAAGCGGGGAGGGAGGAGATTATGCGATTGCGATTGGGAGTGACTATAGCATGGTCGAGCTAGAAAGTTGTGTGTGTGCGTTGGAGGGGAGGGTTGGTGGGTTGAGAGTTGGGGACAGGTGGGAGCGATGACGATCGGCGCATGGGCAAGGTGTGGACTGCGGAGCCAAGGGCGGAGGTGCCACAGTTGCCATTGGTACGCGAATGACCCGATTCTGGTTGCGCTGTCTTTCACATTTTGGGAAGAAAGTCGCGCATATTCTCTTGTATTGGGATAAATGTACTTCGCATGCGAGACCCGTAATGGTGATTCTTTCTAAAAGGTGTATATGGCAGGCGCAGTCAAACGCAAGAAGCATCGCTGAACAGCGGTGGAGCCCGCGAAACACACGCAATCACAGCTCACGCGACCAACAGACAAGTCAAATAACAGGATGATTTCGTTTCAACTCATCACACGCCCAAGCAGGGTACTCAACTATATACAAAAGCCAAAAGCAAAATCACGGGCTCCTCGCCAGGAACGCCTCGTCGCCACAAAGTAAAAGCTCCAAGCCCTCACACACATTTATTTCTCACCCCTGTTATCACTACGCGCAGCATTCTTCTTCTTCTCCACAGCCGCATGCTCATGCTTAGCCAGCTTCTCCTCGCTCGACCCCTCCTCCTTGAAAACCTTCTCGCGGTCAACAGGACCAGGGATATGTTCCGGAAGCTCGCTGCGGGAGATGAGAGTGAGGACGATACTGGCTCCGACGATGGCGGTGAGAACGAAGCGGTATACGGCGTACCAGTTGGGTGTCCAGCCGAGGCGGCTTACGCCTGTGTGTTGTGTTAGTATAGTTCATTAAAATGGGTAAAGGATGAAGAGAGAAGGGAGAAGGAAGAAGGACATACGAGTATCAACATAGTACAACCCAACGAAACCCAAAAACTGCGAGATGAGCGCGCCTTCAATGGGCATGAGCAGTGTTGACCATGCTACCATTGGTGCTACAACACCAATCGCATAGCGCTTGTAGCCTTGTGTGCCTCCGTAGCCTGCCCACTCTAGTCCCCAGTGGATAGCACCCAGGAAACTGAGGATGGACGCTCCGTATCCGATTTGAAGGGGCTCGATAAGGGAGAGGAGGTATGTAGCGTCTTTTTGAGAGAAGATCATGCCGTAGCCCGCGGTGGAGTGGTTTAATTCCCAGGAGAGATACACGGTGGAGATGGAGGTTGCGAGGTAGGGAAGCGTGCCTGCGAGACCCATGTAGTAAGCTTCGCGCGGGACTTCAGCGAGGGAGAATGTTTCCTTGATTGTGCCCTGGTGTTTGTTAGAATCCATAACCAAAAGACGTCGTCAATATTGTGCAGAGAGAACTTGGTAAACATACCACATCATGCTTCAACCCCGCCGCCATATCCACCTCATTCTGCGGCTGCTCGGTGCCCACCTCGGAAAACATCGGATGCGTCGAACTAGTACTCGTCACCGTCTCGGGCGTAGGCTTAATCTTCTCGTGCGCATATCTGCTCTCCGCCTGCTTCTGCCCTTCCGTCAACGTCTTATCAGCCATGCTGCGGCGCAAGACCGCGCCCGCAGGCTTCCATTGCGCAGCAGCAGCCGCTTTCGCTAATTGCGGTCTCCGCGCAGCCAGAGAACCAAATTGTGTTGCCCATTGCAGAGAAGGTGTTGTGCGCGTGAAGCTCGCAGCCGGGCGTGCCGACTGGGGCGCTGCTGCGGACCTCAGCGCGAGGCGCGACGCTCCGTTGCGAAGCATATTAGATTAGCGGGTACCTAGGTATGTAGGCAAGATGTGTTATGCAAAAGCAAAGTAGGAGGACAACGCGGGTGCAGTAATGTACACAAAGCACGAGCTGGGTATATTGGGGAAGAAGACAAGAGAAGATAGGGTTAGATAGTACTTGCGATTCCAGCTACAAGCTTCCCCCGCAGGTTGACGCGCGACGCCAGTCTGACGTCATGCATGCTTTTCATCATCGCCGGCCATGCTTCGGCATCGCAATCGTGATCCTTGCTCGTAGTGGATCGCAACGGTGCCGCGACCCGTAAATAACGCGAAGGAGCTGTCACCATGAGACAAAATGTGCCGTTACGCGGTGGGGCTTTCACGCGCCATGTTATCGGTTCGATCATAATTCGGCCCAGTCTCGCTTTAGTCCGGCCATACTGTCAAGTCGATAAGATGACGCACAATCATGCTGCTCAATTTCCAAGAGACAATTGTCTGATTGATAGAAAGAGTATACATTATAGGGGTCCAATCGAAACCAAAACGCATTCCAAAACCACGCTATGCCATGTACTCATAAGCCTCATTATACCTCCGCTTCTACTCCCTGATTCCCCATCTCAATCAACCCTTCGCGTTCCACCGGTCATTATAAGCATTAACACCCACAGCAACCTGTCGGTAGAACCAATTCCTACTCTCCTCATCACTAACCGGGATGAAAGGCCCATTCGTGCCTCCCTTGAGCGTGATACCCAGTCCCGTCCTCTCCTTGCTGATGGTCTGAACGTCCTTGAGCGGTACATCCCATTCAGTCTGCAGCTTCTTTGTGCGCACCATCATGAGGCCGTTGTACGTGAGCATAACGAGCATCTCCTTGTTCTGCAACTCAAGATGCGCAATGTAGTCTTCGTTGAAGTACTTGCCATTATCAAGTGTCTTCAGCCAGAACTGACCGAGCGCTTCGCGTTGAGAGTAGGGGCGCACGATGCCGTCTGTGCCGATGAATCGCGTGAGGCGCACGCGGTCGAGACCTTCCTGGTCGAAGACGGTGGTTGTGTTGCGCACACCTTCTGCCATGTTGGAGGCAAGATCAAAGGCTCCGATGGCGGCCTTGGTAGGTACACCCAACAGTCCTTTGCCGACTCCCTTTACGAAACCAAGAGCACCTTCCTTCTCAGCTCCTTGGATGGGATGACGGGCGAGGCCACCAAGACCACTGGCGAGACTGCTGGCGAAGGCATTGCCACCAGATGTGATACCGTAGAGCGCGTGCTTGGGCCTGTTGCGGGACCGCGACATGCGACGCTGGTCCTGGAACTCTTTGTCCAAGGTGGCCGCAGAGAGACCCTTTGACATACTGCCAGTGAACTTGGCCATACTGTCCGAGAATCCGAACACGGACTTCTTGACGAAACTTGATGCACCCTTGGCGATACCGATTCCAAGATCTTCGGGTCGATCCGATTTGACGAGACCCTGGTATGGCTCGTAGAAGATGTCTGCAACACCAGAGCTGATGTTGTTGAACAGACCAACTGGGTTACCGAGGAAGTCGGCGGACCCGATGATGACGTGCACTTGTCGCAGCGACTCCTGTACGTAATGGTTCTTGATGTTGTTGATCAACGCAGTTGTCGAAATGCGAGCGTTCTCCAGCATCAACGAGTTGTATCGTACTGGTGCATCGTTGACGTTGCCAATTGACATGGTGAGAACATTGACGGCGAACATGAATGGGTTGGAAGTGCTCATGGTATCCTCAGCGTTGATGCGCTCTGTTCGGACGAACGACAAATCGATCTGCATAGGCTGCAGATGGAGAAGCTCAAAGTAGACGTCCTGGCCAGATTGTTCCTGCTTTGGCTCGGGTATGCTGAGATTGTCATCCCATAGCTTGCCCTGCTTCTCTTCGGACCAAGAAGCACCAGGGATATTCGCGAAGTCGATCATGGCGAAGATGAAGTCCTCGTCGATTTCGATCGTCATCTGCTGGAGCAGGAATGTGAAGTATTTAATGTAGAGCACACCGTACGAATCGTCCTTGACCTTGGTGATGGTCGTTTGGAAGATGGGATGCGCCTCCATCTCCTTGCCCGTCTTCGGAACAACACTGGGGTAGAATATGATGGGGAAGATGCCACCGTAGAGTTGATTGTCGACCTGAATCCACTTGACTTGCATGTTGACCATCTGGTAGAGGGGCGAGTCGGAGTATTTCATCTCGATGTCGCGTAGTGTAACATACACCAGCTCCTTCAGGTGGCGGTTGACGAGCGATATGCCGATACCAGCAAGGCGTATCTGCGCCTTGAAAGTGACGTCTGTGTCCATATCCTTCACCTCGAAGCCGGTCGCCGTCGAGGATGAGCCAGCAGACTTCTGCTTGTACATACTCTTAGATGGCTTGTAGTTCGACACTTCGAGAGTCTGCGTGGGACCCTTTGCAACGACGTTCAGATCGATGACCTTCATGCCGCCACGTTCTTGGCCAGGCGGTATCTTGAATGGAATGAGCGGCCCAATCTCGGCAAGCTTGACATGTCGCTCGCGGCCATTTGCGCTGATGACAATCTCCTTGTTTTTCGCAGCCGGGAAATCCCACGCATATGGCATGATGCTCCTAGGAGGCAGGCGGTACCTGATCGGTCGGAAACCAGAACCGCGGTCGTCCTCGTCCTCATCCAGGTTGGGATTAGCTTGCCAGTACAGGAACTCTTGGTCACTCATATTCTTGAATGAGAACGGCCAATGCTTGTTCTCAACGCTGACATGGCAGAAGATCGTCGCTGCCTCCATCAAAATATCGACACGAACAAGCTTCTGGCGCTGTCCAGCCTTTGAAAGCTTGACGTGGACGTTGCCGACGTTGGAGATGTTGAAGGGAGAAGACCACTGGTTGTTAACACCGGGGTAGCAAAGGGACAATTGTGGTGCTCCACCTTGTCGCAGCCAGCGGAGAGGGAACAGCTCGCCGTCCTTCACCGTCATCCAATCAGACTGACCAGGCTCTCGGATGAGTAGTTCCTCCTTCATCTTGTTGTTGACGATGAAGCGCGGTGCGATGGAAACGGTCTTGGTCAAGTTGTACTTGCCTTCGCCCTCTGAGACAGAGACACCCAAGTGCATGTCAGAGCGTGCCGCTTTTGATGGCAAGGCTACCGTGTATGTGCTACCGATCGCATCGAAACTCTGAGGCTTGCTCCAGTTTGACTCGCCAACCCTGATGAGGGCACGGTTCTTTTTGTTCTCTGTCGGGTAAGAGAACATGAAGGGCAAGGCCTTGCCAGCATCGTTCTGGTTGTCTGTTACGACACCCTGTCCAGCAGCAGCTCTGGCTTGGCCCATGAGCTGCTGAGCTCGAACATCAAGCTGAAGACCGGTACGGTTGAGGACGATGTAAGGGCTGTAAATCGCAACCTTGAAAGCACCGCCACCGTCGGGGAAGTTGCTGAGAACAGTCAGTACTTGTAATTAGATCTCAATGTAATGTACTTACAAGAAATGCATGTTGAGGTGTAGAGTAGTATCGTTGTTATCCTTGACCTCCAACACCTTCTCTCTCCTAAAACTCTCGCGATCGGTCGAGTTGATGATGCCAAATTTGCTGGGCTTGAAAGGTCCATCCTGCATCTCAACACTGATGAGGAGAAGATGCGACAGTTCCACTACATGAACCGGGCTGATACCACCCTTTCTAAGGAAGTTCGTCCAGTCCTTCTTCGTGTTGCTGTCGTAGATCCTATACTTGAAGTCGTATGGAAGAAGGTTGTGCACCTCGACGGGTGCCTGGAGGCGTAGTCGCATGTACGGGTAGACGCCCGTGAGAGGGTCCTTCTTGTCGTAGGCCGCATGGAGTTGGAAGTAGAACGGCGGCGATTGGTCGTCTTGCTCGCCACGGCAAGTGATTGTCCTCGTGGGTCGCTTGAGCAAGTCCTTCCAGAACAAGCGCTCGTTAGACCAAGCATAGCCGAAGCCTTGATCGGGACGGATGACGATAGAGTGCATGAAGCAGGCGCCGACTGGTGCTGGTCTGGCATCTCCAGGAGCGATTTTATCGATCTTGAGGAGATGGCCATCTTCTGGGCTGTACATACCAAGCTCGATCGGAATCTGAGTGTTGTTCTCTACCAACATTGGGGAACGAATGGTGATGTTCTTGATGTTGTCGGCGCCGAGCTTCACCTCGATCAATAGACGATGCTGGATGCGGTCTTGCTTCGGTTTGAGGTTGTACAGGAACTCGCCCTCTCGGTGAACAGGTACCCGTGTAAGAGTATCGAAACCACTGCCCTGAAGCTTGATACCAAGCATGCCGGTTGCGCCATCCGTGGAGAGCGACTCTCTTGTCGACATGGGGTCTTCGAATCGCCAAGGCTGCTCTTCCCCATCTTCAAGCTTAGCTGCAAAGCCTTCTTGCTCCTTGCCCTCAGCCCAGACATCGAGGCTGAAACCTGTGTAGTTACGTACACGATACGGAGCGTCGCTACCCCGAGGCTTGGACAAGATGTCATCTTCGCTGGTGAGGAAGTCGAACGATTTGGATCCCAGTGCAATCGTCGCGGCTGTCACTGTGAGCTCCATAGCTTTGCGCGAGTAGATATCGACGGCTAGCTTGTCGGGATTCTGATCCTTGGACATGTGGAAGCCAACGGCCCAAGGCTCGATGAGCGGCTCCCACGCAGACTTGGAGAAGTTGTACACATTGACGAGGGTGTCAAGCGAGGTGTCGGCAACCATCGCTCCCGACCAGTCTCTCACGTCGACACCAAACTTCTTCACGCGCCAGTCGAGCATGGGCATCTCATGTACATCACCGATAAGGACAACGCGTATGCCTTCAACGCTGATGTGAAGTTCTTCCCGCTTGAGTACAGCGGAAGAAGGGATTGCCTGCTGCTTCCCGACCTGTTGACTAGATCGTCTGGTGGTCGCGAGAGACTTGGTACGAGGCTTGTTGGACACGGCTTTGCCTGCATGAGAAGTCCCCTTCTTGGAAGGTGTGCCTGTCTTGATTTGCTTGGCTTCTGCAGAGGGCATACTCTTCTCAGCTGGGGCAGCCATTGCTGATGCTCTGTTGACAATCTGCATAGCTAGCAGGATATCACGGAGTGACAAGCGGAGTACAAGAGGCTCAATGTCGACGGTAATGCTCATCATCGAAGACTTTGCGCCTTGGTTCCTGATGTCGAGCGCTGTCTGGATGCTGAAGTCGTCAAGGATGCGCATTCGGTTGGTCTCGAAGCGATCCATGCGGCATAGGAACATGCCAACCTTGTCGACCTGCAGCGTCATTGCTTGTTGCTTGGATATAAGCACTTGCTTTGTACCAAGGACGATGGCCTCTGAGCTGGCCATGGCTGGGTTGGCAATGAGCACAACCTGGGCATCTACCAAGTTGACACGGAACGACATGTTCATACCACCATCGGTAGGCTCTTTCGCAGGCTCTGGAAGTTCTAATGTTCGAGAGCCGTCTGGTGACATGATGTCGTCATCGCTATCAGTCTCCTCTTGCTCAGCTGCCTCTTCGATAGCCAAAGGCTCGTCGGTAGCGAGACCTGCGTTTGCAAAGGCTTGCAGAGCAAAGAGATAATCAAGAGCCAGAATAATTCTTGGACTATCAATGGTAAGAAGCGCAATCATGCTCTTCTCTTTCCCGCCCGAAATGGAAACACTGGCCATGAATTGCTGCTTGACATCGTTGTTGATGAGCGACATGATCTTGCGGAACTTGTTCGTTCCCTGCGTGCGGCTGTCTCGGATCGTGAAAGATTGCACAACTAGTTCAGCCTCCATCGCTCCATCGCTGATCATGCGGACCTTAACGTTCGTGTCGTTGAGGGAGAACTTCGAGAGACTAGCGGCCTCAACATCGCCTACAGGCTGGGCATCCTCAGATTTGACAAGCTCCAATCCGATAGTGCCGACCTTGAAGACAAAGTCCAGCTTCGTCCACTTGTCGCCGTCAGATTGCAGCTCAGGTCCTTGCGACGACACAGCGTTCTTGGAGGACTCTTCTTCTGTGTTGTCCTTGTCCGTGAGTCGTCGCGCAGGCTCCGTCGTCTCGCGAGGTAGTTCGGCTTGCACATCCTGATCTATAGCGTCAGACTCGGTGGCAAACGCTGCGGGTATGGAGCGAGACAGTTCTAGTGCGAACTTCATTTGCTCTGGTGTGAGCATTAAGTTGATGTCCGACATCGAACCGTCGATCTCAAGGTCTGGCCGTTTCTGTCCAGCCTTGTGCTCAACCATTGTGATGTTGAAATCGAGATCGACCTTGTCAATCAGCTGCAGTTCCTCTGAGCGGTCCTCATCGTAATGCAGCTTCGATGTGAGCTTGATGTTCCTGATACCAGCCGAAAGCTTATTCGCGGTCTCGGCACCCTTGGAATCATCAAGAGGAACAAAGCTGTTCTTGGCGTAGATCTCTCCTAGGTTCGCAGTAAGAGTATCGCGATCTGGTTTGTCGGATACCACCATACGTGGGAATACAACGATAGGCGTACTGATGGTGATATCGAAGTGAAACTTGGTCGCTCGCTGCTGGATCTGTGTCGCCTGGTTCGCCGCGGCCTGACGAGCCGCGTTGAAGATGGCTTGCATCTTACCGAACTTGACAGCAAACTCCATGATCTTGCGGAATGGCTCTGTGAGGAAGTTGATCTTGATAGAGCCCGTCTTGAGCGTGACCGCCATGTCGTATCCAGGGTAGCTCTCCGCGTCCGCATCGAAGGTCTCGTAACTGAAGTCGGCCAGATTCTTGCCCTCAATAGTCACAAGTTGGCGGAGAGACGACTCTTCAGAGACACCTTGGTTGATGTCATCAATGAGTGACAGATTTCCAAGGCGTCCACCGATGCGCATCGTCTTGCCGCTCAGGAAGATGCCAACATGTCCGGAGTTCAAACTCAGCGTAGCTAGCCGTATTCCGTCGTTGTTCAAAACAACAGCAATGCGCTTCATCTCTGCTCGGATGCGTATCTTGTCGGGCTCTGCTTGAGTTTGGACAGCAACGGCTTGTTCTGTCTCTTTATCCGTTATCTGGGCTTGCTGGTTTTGCGGCTGGCCTGGATTGGTGAATGTATCGAGGACGAAATCCAGTAGCGTGAGCAACGTCCGCCTGGTTACTATCAGGTTGATCGTTGAGACAGCCACGTCCAAGTTGGTTGCGATGCCCTCGTACTTGGTTTGGAACTCCGGAGACTCCTTGTTGACTTTGACGAACTTGAGCGTGAATAGATCCTTTTGTTCGTCTGCAGAGACATCTTCGGACGAGATGATGTTCTTGAACTCTGGAATGGTAGACTCTTCGACGTGGTCCTCCACTGCCAAGCTCTTGAGACGAACATCCGCGGCCATCTCGAAAGCCTCTTGATAGAAATCAAGATCGAAGCTTTCTGCAATAAGCTCAACCAGCAGTTGGTCAGATTTCCTCCCCTCTGGGTCTGCTCTGTACAGCGAACCCTTGAGCTTGTCGACAGTGAACTTGAATTCGAAGTTGCGCTGATGCAGGTGTGCCTCTTTCTTCTCATCTCGCTTCTCCGTGGCATCTGCAAACTTCTCGTCTGTATCGTTGTGACCTTCTTCCTCCATCACGAGCTCATGTTCTTGTGCAGCAAATGCGAATGATTTTGAGCGCGTCCGTCCGAGAGGGTCTGAATCAGCCTTGGCGTCGCTTGTGGGCTTGAGGTTGGACGGACCCTTCGCACCCTCAATGACGGGCTTTTTGGGTCCGTCATTATCAAATTTGGGTATGGCGACATCGATCAGCTTCATTAGGTTCTTGTACTTGGAGTCCGATACCGATGCGTGGAGCACCGGCAGGTTTCCAGACACACGGAACTTGGTCAGATCTGACGCCTTAGGGACGATGCATATCTCAATCTTGAAGTCCATGTTGATCCGGTCAACGATATGGTAGTTCTTCAAGCTGGAGTCTTGTTCGAGCTGCGCGCGAGTTTCCTCGATGGATGGTCCAATGAGCACTTGTGTCGAGTGGAGCGCTAGGTTGAACTTGTCGTACATGAGTTTCTCCAGCTTTCGGAAATCCTCGTCGGTGTACTGCTGCTTTTGCTTCGACTGTATGTCGCGAAGGGTATCCTTGTCGACAAGCTCGCTCGTTACGCTCACATGACCGGCATCGACAATGAGACAGTTACTCGACTTCTTCGTGACAGAGTCTGGCACAATGATGAGTGGGGCCTGCAGGTCGAGTTGCGCGTTGATGGTCTTGTGTTCGGTAAGGGCGAACTCCAGACCTGCGCGTGTCTGTTGCCGGATGCCCTCAACAGTTGCTCCGGCAGTCTCCATGAGTGCGCCGATAGACTCCATGTGCCGCTCTGGAGGCTTGAAGAATTTGGCCACCTCAACCACGAATCTGGGGTTGTAGACGAACTCCATTCCCTTCAACTTCATGGTTAAGTTCGTATCGGCCGCTCCGTCGAGTGGATTGTTCTCAAACGTGAGGAAGAAGAACGGGTCTTCTTTCTCATCACCTTCCTCGTCGTCATCATCGTCCTTGGGTGATTCATCATCATTGAGCTCTTCGATGCGCTTGTCGTCCGGCACAGGCGGTGCATCCTTGACTGTGATGATTTGGGGGAAAAGACTGCCTTCTGTGGTACCGTCGTATAGACGCATGCCTTCAAGCGCGACCTTGACGAACATGGAATCTGTACGTTGCAGGAATTGGGTGCTGAACGAGTCGAAGAGTAGCCGGAGTATCTCGTTCGATTTGCCATGGGGATCGCGCTTGAGTGTGAAGCTGCCTGTGCGCAGGCTCATATTGACCTCCAACTTGACGTATTCGCGAGGCATGTCCACCGACTCGGTGATGGCCTTCTTCTCGTCCCAATCGATAGCGTCGTAAAGCTCTTTTCTTTGCTGTTCGCTCATCTGAGTGTTCTCGTCCTCGTGGGACTCTTCTTGTTTACTTCCCCACACCCAAGAAGTCCAGGTTTGCTTGGGCGGCGGCTTCTTGACACCGACATTTTCCTTGCGCAGCTGGTTGCGGGCCAGCGAGCGCCAGAAGCGGAGGTCCTCGTACGTAAGCTTTCGCTCGAGCTTATCGAGATCTTCAGCTTCCGTAGCATCGAGCTTCTCCTCGCGCTTCTTCTTCTTGAAGAGTTCAATGTACCGTATGCGGTCGTCGCGGCGTTCTTTGAAGTAATCCCAGCTCCATTGCCGGTTCCTTTCGTGAATCTTGTCGAGCACAGCCTGGCCGGCAAAGCGAAGCCACCCAGCAGGATCCTCCTTAGGTGATGACTTTGGCTGCAGCCTCTTGTACTCTTGATGGCGGATGAAGTAGTGGAATAGGTCGACCAGCATGAGCGCGTCGCGATATTGGTCCTCATCGATGATGAAACCAAGCTCGTCGAAGAGGAGTCGGGCCTTCATCTTTGCGACGTCCATTTTACCGGTCTTGTCCATCTCTATTCCAGCGCGACCGCTGATGGGCTTGAGAATGAACTGATGATCACCCAAGTCTGGGTTGTCGCCTCGTGCAATCATGCCCTTTGCACGCTCAATGAAGTCGGCTCGGTCGATTTGCTGCTCATCGCTGCTCTGGCTGCCCTTTCCAGTTCCAATGAGCTTCGCATCTGTATCCCAGTATACTGCTAACGAGCCAAGTGTGGCTAGCTTGTGTGTCGAGGTGGATGTGCCCTGGATGAACGTCGGCTTCCAGTTCTCGTCGGTGCTGATAGCACTGAAGTCTGCGAGGGTGACACCAAGGGCGAATGGGTGTCCGGGGTCGGCGATGGAGTCTTCGTATCGGATGTGGATGTTCTTGACTGTGATCTGGACGTTGTCGACGATGGCAGTGATCAAGCTCGCAGTGAAACTCTGATTCTTCTGCTGCTCTTCCGCGCTCATGCCCTCGGTGTTCCGCTCTTTCAGCAGCTCTGCGCTGTCGAGCTTCTCCATCTTGACGGCGTGCGCACGCTTGTCCTCCTCTTCAGCGTCGTAGTCTGCATCCTCCTTGGGCGCTGCCAGTAGGAAAACATCTTCGATATTGACCTTCAGCGGCTTCCCTCTTAGATTTGACCAGGGTATGGATAGTGTGAGTGAGCCGAGGTGTCCTTCGACGACGTTCAGCGGTAGGCGTAGCTGGTCTAGGGCTTCGCGACGGAGCTCGAGGTCCCGCAGCTTGACATCGCCAGACCATATGCCGACGTTCAACTGTTTTGGATCGAAGTTCTGGACATACATGCCCAAGAACCGATTCAGCAGAGTTGACACGAGTCCCTCAAGCATAGTGGCGGTGGGGGGCCGTTACCCAGGCCGGGCGAAGGGGGTAGGTAGGTAGGTAGGCGGGGTATAGGGTGTGTCGGAGGCGGAGGGGTATCGTTATGTCGTAGGGCTGCGTGGAGTCATAGGGAACGGCCGTCAATGCGTGGATGCCACGTTCGGGGCGGTTGTAGGTGGTAAACACAAGGTGGGGCGGATACGGCACAGGTTGGGTGTTGTGCTGCGTGGAGTATTACCGAGACGTCGATCGCTAACAGGCCGTAGGGAGTGTCGAGAATAGAATACACACGCAAAGGCGACACGTCGTGTAGGCACAACCGAGGAATTAGACGACGCACAAGACGCGTAAAGGTGGAGTTTGAGGGATCTCCAAGGCAGCTGCAAGTGCGATGCATGACGTAGCGTATAGGCTTCCCGCTCACGTGTGCGGGCCGTCTCATGTCTGATTCGCCGGAAGTGCCAATTGCCCTTGGGGATTTCTTGAATTTCTGCCCAAGTCTCAAGCCCCGCGGATTGCACCCAGAGCCTAGACGTCTGAACATTCGAGCTACAACATACTAGCCTCGACCAATTGCATTACCGCTCGTCGCAGCATATTGATTAGACGTTTGCCAGAGTTTTGACGCGCGACAATCCGCACCATCGACTGCTACAGCTCGTATCGCGAGTCTTCCGAATAGCGCGTCTCTCGCATACCTACCACGCCGGTTCCTATAGACACGCGCATACCTCACAATGACCTGGTGGCCTTTCTCAAGCTCAGGCGCAGATGCCTCTGCGAAACAACAACCACAAACCATATCCACCACAGCATCGCCTGTACAAAAGCCCAGCGATGCGCCTACATCAACAATAGACACACCTCCACAGCAACAACCCGACTCCGCACCCCACGACCCCGACTTCTACGCCGCCCACCCACATCTCGCACCGCCATCCTTCTCCACAAACACGCCTTCATCCTCGCCCTCAAATACTCAGACCCCCTCCAATAATGCCGAAACTCCCGAAGAGTACGACCCTACCCTCCCTCGCTCAATGTCCTGCCGCGCCGCTTTCGACAGCGCTTTCTACTGCTCCTCACTAGGCGGCCACTTCAACGATCTATACCGCTACGGCCAGCTGCGCAGCTGTTCCGATCACTGGAACGACTTCTGGTTCTGCATGCGCACCAAGAACAGCTATAGCGGACAGGATGTTAAGGAGAGGATGATTCAGGATCGGTATCTCGAGAAGGAGGAGAAGCTGAAGAGTGGGCCGAATAGTGAGAATATCTGGAGGAAGAGGGGCCCTGGGGAGGAGGTCAAGAACGCGTTTAGTAGGGCGGCGGAGGATTTGGAACAGTAAGAAGACGGATGTACGATATATGAGGCTGTATGATTTGGACTGTACACAAGCATGGTGTATAAGAGTAAACTCTGGCGATGACATTGAGCGTATACCCACAGATTGTCGCTGGTCAGGCGCGTCGTATATGGCAGGCGTGTAGTTTGACTCCGTGATCAATCTGCGCGGTTTCATTGAATACCTCCTGGGCCCCAGATCCCGTAGCAGATGATATGGAGCAACACTATGTATTCTGCAAGGAAATCACTTTTCCCAGCTTGTAAGGCACAGCGAGCGAATGATTAGTAGTGCTGTTATTACTACCAACGCGCCCATCGGGGTCTTTCAACCAAAGAAAATGGAGCACTCCGACGCATCAGTAATATTCCCCAGCATCCGCAAACTCTAGCACGTTAAGCTTGTATCATGGGCTGAGAAGCGTCACTATTGCGCAGTCTGCGCGTCAACAGACACGATATTACTGAGATCAGAATGCCGTAGACAGCATGGATGAAGTAGCAGCACCAGGGTAGCGTACCCAGGAAGATGCTTGACTGCATTGAATCACTAATCAACCACCATCTGAAGTGATTCTTGTGTTTCTCAGAACGAAATTCTCAATGAGACACGGTGTATACATTCATGGTATGTTTTGAACTGTCAGGAGCCACAACCTGCTCCATATGTCGAAGGCGCATCTCGTTCAAGGGGAAATCTCAACACTCTGGAAGCCACATTGACCTCGTGTCATCTAAGTTGCACACTTTCATCTTGACGTAGGCTGCAGACCCGGTCAGCGACTCCTTGTATGAGGAGATTGCGCGTCTCTAGTACCCTGGCAACACGTGAATGCCGCGAGTACCTTGAAGCTTCCTTTGTCTAGGCCGCGAACAAAGCACATGCGTGGCAAGGTACAAGCCAGAACAACAAGCCTGTTGGTACGTGTTGTGTGCGATCAAACAGGACGCTGGCCGTATTGGTAGGCAAACCCCGCTGCAGTGACTTCACTCGATCGCGGCGGTTGAAAAAATCCTGGACATCTGGAAGCTACTTGAAGCTACCCGTCGTTGCCATGGGCGGAATGACATATGGGCCCGCTCATGGCGGGGCAACTCGCTTATGTCACCCGTTTGAGGCTTTGGTGGGGTGAGGCCTCCGTCATAGCAAGGCGGCGGCCAGCGCCCTTTGCGGCGGCGACAGAAGATGCACGAAGATTCACAGTCCGCGAGCAGAAGGCGTTGGGCGCAATACCGCGGCCGTGCAATCAGCCGCGAGTGGAGCCAGGATGACAAGAATTAGGCATTTGCCCCCGGAAAGCGTGCCAGGCAGCTGTTTCTAGTGGGTCGCAGAGCTTGCGCGAGCTTGCGGGAAGGTTCTGGTTGGTTGCTTGGCGCGTCGAAGGCGCTGGAATTCTGTAGAAACACCACGCTGCCAGGCGATACAAAAACTTCGTCTGCCCGCGCCTTGGGACTGTTTCTCTTTCCACTACACAACACAAACCACACTACACCGCGAAAGCCTCACCTTTATAAGTCGCCGACTTGTGAGCATACCACTACTTTTTCTTCCCTTTTGATACCCCACTACACACACATATCGACATCATGGCACCCGCGATTGGTATCGATCTTGGTACTACCTACTCTTGCGTAGGTATCTTCCGAGATGACCGCATTGAGATTATCGCCAACGACCAGGGTAACCGGACAACACCTTCGTAAGTCACCACTTCTTGCCTACAGTCACGACCACTACTAACATGTCCAAGGTTCGTTGCCTTCACCGACACCGAGCGTCTCATTGGTGACTCCGCGAAGAACCAAGTCGCCATGAACCCTATCAACACCGTCTTCGACGCCAAGCGCCTCATCGGCCGCAAGTTCGCCGACGCTGAGGTCCAGGCCGACATGAAGCACTTCCCCTTCAAGGTCATCGACAAGGGCGGCAAGCCAGTCATCCAGGTCGAGTTCAAGGGCGAGGAGAAGACTTTCACACCCGAGGAGATCTCATCCATGGTCCTGGTGAAGATGAGGGAAACCGCTGAGTCCTACCTCGGTGGCACCGTCAACAACGCTGTCGTCACTGTCCCCGCATACTTCAACGACTCGCAACGTCAGGCCACCAAGGATGCTGGTCTCATTGCCGGCCTCAACGTCCTCCGTATCATCAACGAGCCCACCGCCGCTGCCATCGCCTACGGTCTTGACAAGAAGACCGAGGGTGAGCGCAACGTCCTCATCTTCGACTTGGGTGGTGGTACCTTCGATGTCTCCCTCTTGACCATTGAGGAGGGTATCTTCGAGGTCAAGTCCACTGCCGGAGACACCCACTTGGGTGGTGAGGACTTCGACAACCGTCTGGTCAACCACTTCACCAACGAGTTCAAGTAAGTACAAAATCCACCCTGGCGCCTACATTGTCTTCGTCGACAACACATTGTTCACGGAGACTGCCTTGTATCCATGAACATATGCTAACTTCATACTCTAGACGCAAGCACAAGAAGGACCTTACCTCCAACGCCCGTGCCCTCCGCCGTCTCCGAACTGCTTGCGAGCGGGCCAAGCGCACCCTGTCCTCGTCCGCGCAGACCTCAATCGAAATCGACTCCCTGTACGAGGGTATCGACTTCTACACCAGCATCACCCGTGCCCGTTTCGAAGAGCTCTGCCAGGACCTCTTCCGCTCCACCATGGAGCCCGTCGAGCGTGTCCTCCGCGATGCTAAGATCGACAAGTCTTCCGTCCACGAGATCGTCTTGGTCGGTGGATCCACCCGTATCCCCAAGGTCCAGAAGATGGTCTCCGACTTCTTCAACGGCAAGGAGCCCAACAAGTCCATCAACCCCGACGAGGCTGTCGCCTACGGTGCTGCCGTCCAGGCCGCTATCCTGTCTGGTGACACATCTTCCAAGTCCACCTCCGAGATCTTGCTTCTCGACGTCGCGCCGCTCTCCATCGGTATCGAGACTGCTGGTGGTGTCATGACTGCTCTCATCAAGCGCAACACCACCATCCCCACCAAGAAGTCCGAGGTCTTCTCCACTTTCTCCGACAACCAGCCCGGTGTGCTCATCCAGGTTTACGAGGGTGAGCGTGCTCGCACCAAGGACAACAACCTGCTCGGAAAGTTCGAGCTCACTGGTATCCCACCTGCGCCCCGTGGTGTTCCTCAGATCGAGGTCACCTTCGACGTCGACGCCAACGGTATCATCAACGTCTCTGCCCTCGAGAAGGGTACCGGAAAGACCAACAAGATTGTCATCACCAACGACAAGGGCCGTCTGTCCAAGGAGGAGATCGAGCGCATGTTGGCCGAGGCCGAGAAGTACAAGGCTGAGGACGAGGCTGAGGCTGCCCGTATCTCTGCTAAGAACGCTCTCGAGTCCTACGCCTACTCGCTCCGCAACACCCTCAGCGACTCCAAGGTCGACGAGAAGCTCGATGCTGGCGACAAGCAGAAGCTCACCGCCGAGATCGACAAGACCGTCCAGTGGCTCGACGACAACCAGACCGCCACCAAGGACGAGTACGAGTCTCAGCAGAAGGAGCTTGAGGGTGTCGCCAACCCCATCATGATGAAGTTCTACGGAGCCGGTGGTGAGGGTGGCATGCCCGGTGGTATGCCCGGTGGCGGTATGCCCGGCGGCGGTGCCCCTGGTGGTGCCGGCGGCGACGACG